GGGCCGATGATTTTCCCATGCCAAGTAACCATCAGTTAAAAATACGATGATGGCCTTGTGATGGTAAGATGTCTGGAACTAATTGAATACTAACGAGTTCTGGCCCTTTGCTGGCCAATTTCATATTCACTACCCGTCCCCCTGGCGGATGTTTTGAGAACGTCTACATCAACAATCAGCTGATCAATATCATATGTGACTAAGATGGCTGACTCTCGCGAGTGGTGATCGCGTACTAGTTTGTTTATGTCTAATTAATGTGGTCCTCTCTTTCCGTGGTGGTTATTTATGATGGCAGGAGTATTCTCGATTGATAATAATAAAAGACAGATTCTTCAATTATGATAATATTGAGTAAGTATCAATGTACCTACATAGTGTTTTGAATGTCATTATCTGATGCATGTGTTTGGTATCTCGTAACCTCATATACCTAATGATTATGATAATTGGATTTAACTATACTTCTCTAAAAGCATTTTCAACTCGTTTGTTGCTATCAAAAGCAATCTCAGGTTATGTGAACCTATCTCTTTATTGAATTACTGAATAATAATAAGATTCCAGCTACAGAATTACCTGTGCCAACACCATAATGAGAATTGAAAAGCTCCATGTTATCACGTCATTTGACTATATTATCAAGTTATAAACTCATGCAACTCATATACCACCAATATAAAACAAATGATGCATTTTATATTTCAGAAGTACCTCACAACGAAGAATCAACTTCGAAGGAATACTACCCAATAAGATGTGGATACCACACACAAACCAGTAAGCAGTCACTCCGAGAAGAGTTTCATCGTTGAAGAACAGAGAGGTTAAGAAGATATCATTGTGTCATTCATAAAATTGTTTTCTTGAAATCTGGTATGTGTCTGATTCATGATGAGAGGGTTATGTTGTGAAATAAAGAGGTACAAGAACTTTCAGATCCATTGGTCCCCTGAAACCCCTACCCCTCCCCTACCTCGATAGTATGTAACCAATGTCGTTAATTGGCCATTACAGTCCCATCATTTATGTATATGCTGGGCTTGCTATGGGAAACTCAATGTGTTGATTATGTTGTACTGGCCTTTTGCCGGGAAACTGAATATGATTGCTGGGTACCCAGCACTGGGACCAGCTGCCGGCCGCAGTGTACTGATATATAGAGTCCCGCATATGGGACCATTTACTGGGCCGCTGATGTCAGGTATGGGAAAAATATACTAGGCCATTGATTCCCCATATCAAGATGTTTGCTGGGTTAGGTATGTATAGGTAATTGTTATGTCACCGTCTTCTAGTAGAGTAAATAGACTGGCAAAAGGCTTCTAGAATAGATTTTCGTGGGCACTTTGTTGCTAAAATGTAAAACCCATTTTTTATCATTCCTAAGACCTTTGCAATGCAAAATCACTTGGTCGTCCAAAAATCGTAGTAGGAGGGGAGTGGGGGGAGCCTTTTTTAAAAAAAAAGACAATTTTTTTTTCATCGGTTTTCAGATCTAAGATGTGAGATAATTCATTCCTCAAATTTGTATACCCATCCGGATATCAGAAATATTTTTTTTCAATTTATAAAAATACGTCGCAGCATTGTTGTATATGGAGCGCCTTCACACAAAACCGCTTGCCCTGCACACCCATATTTTTAAAATCATTTAACTCGCTCTACCTCGAAAAGTATTGGGTCTAGCAAAAAAAGGTTTTCTATAAACGTTAAAGACCAAACATCAGAGAATATGTTGGGCTTTTTAGAATTTTGATTGGATAATTGGTTCACGAGAAAATTAAATAAATCGAACGGCATGTCGCGATGAACAGCGGCGACCGCAGAGACACGAGGAAGGGCGAGATTGCTATGCCTAAGTCAACCGAAAATCCACTCTACTGATGGCGATGTTGGTACGGTCGATTTTACCGTGGCTTCACTGTTTTCTTGTAAATTCGAATGCATTGTTCTGGTAGCGCGGATTCCACTGAGATTACTAGTGATGAGTGATAAAGTTCTTGTCTATAAATCATATTATTAAAAGCGAATAATAACTTATTGGTAAGTTAACAATATTTAGAACTTACTTAGTGAGTATTAGGTACAGTTACTATTTTTTTGTATCCTCTAGAAATGGATTTAACGAACAGCAGCAGCTCTGACAGTGAAATTGAGTCGAAAATCAAATTAAGACGTGCTTCTTTTCGTAAAACTTACAATGGACAAGACGTTATTATTCAAAATGTGTGTCTTGTTTGGAAGGAGGAAAGCTGGTTATCTCTCATGAAAAATAAAAAAACTATCATTGAATTGAATTGAAAGTGAGACGAAAGAACGTATGACAAATTGTCATGATGACAAATATATGCGGCATATATTCACAAAGTTTGATGATCTAGAAAATCGAAGTTTTTTAAAATGGCACAGAAACTGTTATAAATCGTATACGAGCTCAAAGAAAATTGTCTCGTACAAGTCAAAAAATAACAAACTGACAGCTGATTTTCCAGCAGATTTTTGTAGAGCAGATATTTCTCAAAAACGTCCCTTGCGGACACCTTTTTGATTCAAAAAAGTGCGTATTTTGTCAGAAGCGATCACAGTATCAAAAACTAAGCCAAGTTATGACTCATAATATGCAAGAAAAAATAAGAACAATATCACGAAGTGACCGTGTTTTTTGCGAGAACTGGAGACAACGACTTAATTGCCTCGGAAATAAAATATCATGCCGCTTGCGTTTCAACAGAATTACGCAATCTCAATAAAAAATCGGTTGGAAATACTAATATTGAAAAAACAGACAATAAAGCATCAGAGAAACTTTTTGAGGAAATGAAGAAGGGTTTGAAAAAAGGTAAAGGATACTGCACAACATCAATTGGCAAAAGATATCGTGAAATTAGTGGATTGACGACATGAGTGAGAAACAAATAGTAAAAAAATTAAATACCATTTTGAGGATGATGTTGAGTCAATAAGGTCTCCTAGGCAAAATGAGCCCACAATATTCTTGAAGAAGTTTTCGGAAGAACAGGCAATTGAGACAATCGTGCAAAACCACGACGAATCTGTCGGTCCTAGTTTCAGTTTTGGTGCATCGGAGCAACACATTCTAGTAAAAATCTGCCAAACTATCCGAGGTGAGATGAAGAAGATGTCGACTGAGTCCGATTTTTAAAAAAATAATGTTATATAGAGACTACAAAAAGTATATTCCTGAAAGCTTGTACTACCTTGTTAACCTTATTGTCCGCAATGAAAGTGAGAATGAAAAAGAAACTGAAACTTTTGCACGATTGGCTCAATTGCCTGTTCTTTTGAAAACTTCTTCAAGAATATTGTGGGCTCGTTTTGTCTAGGAGACCCTATTGACTCAACATCATCCCCAAAATGGTATTTAATTTTTTTCACTATTTGTTTCTCACTCATGTCGTCAATGCCACTAATTTCACGATATCTTTTGCCAATTGATTTTGTGCTGTATCCTTTACCTTTTTTCAAACCCTTCTTCATTTCCTCAAAAAGTTTCTCTGTTTTTTCAATATTAGTATTTCCAACCGATTTTTCATTGAGATTGCGTAATTCTGTTGAAACGCAAGCGGCATGATATTTTATTTCCGAGGCAATTAAGTCGTTGTCTCCAGTTCTCGCAAAAAACACGGTCACTTCGTGATATTGTTCTTATTTTTTCTTGCATATTATGAGTCATAACTTGGCTTAGTTTTTGATACTGTGATCGCTTCTGACAAAATACGCACTTTTTTGAATCAAAAAGGTGTCCGCAAGGGACGTTTTTGAAAAATATCTGCTCTACAAAAATCTGCTGGAAAATCAGCTGTCAGTTTGTAATTTTTTGACTTGTACGAGACAATGTTCTTTGAGCTCGTATACGATTTATAACAGTTTTTGTGCCATTTTAAAAAACTTCGATTTTCTAGATCATCAAACTTTGAGAATATATGCCGCATATATTTGTCATCATGACAATTTGTCATAGGTACGTTCTTTCGTGCATTCAATGAAAGTTTTTTTTGATTTTTCATGAGAGATAACCAGCTTTCCTCCTTCCAAACAAGTAAGACACACATTTTGAATAAAAACGTCTTGTCCATTGTAAGTTTTACGAAAAGAAGCACGTCTTAATTTGATTTTCGACTCAATTTCACTGTCAGAGCTGCTGCTGTTCGTTAAATCCATTTCTAGAGGATACAAAAAAATAGTAACTGTACCTAATACTCACTAAGTAAGTTCTAAATATTGTTAACTTACCAATAAGTTATTATTCGCTTTTAATAATATGATTTATAGACAAGAACTTTATCACTCATCACTAGTAATCTCAGTGGAATCCGCGCAACCAGAACAATGCATTCGAATTTACAAGAAAACAGTGAAGTCACGGTAAAATCGACCGTACCAACATCGCCATCAGTAGAGTGGATTTTCGGTTGACTTAGGCATAGCAATCTCGCCCTTCCTTGTGTCTCTGCGGTCGCCGCTGTTCATCGCGACATGCCGTTCGATTTATTTAATTTTCTCGTGAACCAATTATCCAATCAAAATTCTAAAAAGCCCAACATGTTCTCTGATGTTTGGTCTTTAACGTTTATAGAAAATCTTTTTTTGCTAGACCCAATACTTTTCGAGGTAGAGCGAGTTAAATGATTTTAAAAATATGGGTGTGCAGGGCAAGCGGTTTTGTGTGAAGGCGCTCCATATACAACAATGCTGCGACGTATTTTTATAAATTGAAAAAAAATATTTCTGATATCCGGATGGGTATACAAATTTGAGAAATGAATTATCTCAAATCTTAGATCTGAAAACCGATGAAAAAAAAAATTGGCTTTTTTTTTAAAAAAGGCTCCCCCCACTCCCCTCCTACTACGATTTTTGGACGACCAAGTGATTTTGCATTGCAAAGGTCTTAGGAATGATTAAAAATGGGTTTTACATTTTAGCAACAAAGTGCCCACGGGATAGCACGATAGGATCCCGTTTAAACTCTACTATTCCTGGAAGGAGAAATATAATGTAATTTTTATTTTTATACTGTTATTTGAATGTTATCAAGATTATTCACGAAACTCAGAGATGATACCTGCCAACATTTCAGGATATTCCAAACGAATTTATTAGGTAGGTATACCTATGTAATTAAGTTATTGCTATCTGACATGTACTATTCTATCTAAATAAAATAAACATATCATAATAATAAATTGAATCATATTACTTTTACGCTACTTTTATTTCAAAACCCGAATTGTGTTCCTAAAAATCTTCAGAAAGACTTTAATAGCACAGAATATTTTGCTGATACCTATCCCAAAAGTTTTTCTAGACACATTTGATTTGTTCTTTGTGTATTTTTATGTACTTCCTGAAATTATGATAATATATCAATCTATCACTGGTATACAGGGTAGAAGATCGATAAAAAATTCTTCAGAGATCACAGGGGAACTTATTTGTACTATATATTCAGCCAAACATAGGTATTGACCTATGTTCGCTTATTTTATTTAAACATGACACCTTGCACACTGTATTTTGTTTTTGAATTCCTTTCAATCCAAGGTACCAATAATTCACGTTTTTTCGCAATTTTTTCTTGTACCCATACAAACATCACAGACTCAAATTCATGACCTATATGTTCCTAAGCTGCTGGACTGTTTTGTTGTTGGTATGCCAAAGACCAATAATATCCTCCTAACTTTTGCAAAGTTTCATGTGTCCCCATCTGAAAAAGTCATAAAGAACTACATTATCGGAACATAAAACCACGCTCATTCATTCAGAAGACCTCTTCAGTGTCTTTGATGAAACTTCAGAAAAATAGTTTTAGAGTAAAAGGAAATATTCGGAAGATTCTTGAAATGACACAGCATATACTCACCTCAATGATCTGTCCCTTATTCAAAACTACTATCAAATCTGCTTTCTTAATAGTAGAAAGCCTGTGAGCTATCACAATAACTGTTCTTCCAGCTCTAGCTCGTTCCAAAGCGTTCTGTACAATTTTCTCTGATTCTGTATCCAAAGCACTGAAATTCAATTGAAGGAAAGTTGATATTATAGCAATTATTTGTATTGCAAGAAAATTTCATAGTCACACAAATCTGCTCATCTAGCAAAATACAAGTTGTGGACGTGGATATACATTGAAAATAAGAACAAGAAAACAATTTAGTGTGCACAAAAACTATTTCATTTTTTACCTTGTAGCTTCATCTAGTAAAAGTACTGCTGGGTTCTTCAAAAGAGCTCTAGCGATTGCTATTCTCTGTTTCTGGCCACCAGACAATGTGACACCTCTTTCACCAACTAGGGTGTTGTACCCTCTGGGGAAACTATTGATAAACTCATCTGCATTTGCCAAAGAAGCGGCTTGCTTGACCTAAGAATTAAAATGAAAAGAAATGGGTATGGACAATTGTGGAATTGAGTCTAACCTCGTCATCGGTAGCATCAGGCTTCCCATACCTAATGTTTTCAATTATTGAAGTGCCAAATAGAACTGGTTCTTGACTTATCAATCCCAGAACTTTTTTTCTTAGCCAAGATGGATCCAGAGTTCTGATGTCATGACCATCTACTGTGATTGATCCCCCATCAATATCATAAAATCTAAGAAACAGATAATTCAACAATGTAATTGATTCACACTTCACAAAGCAAACTCCAAGAAACTACCTCTCAAGAAGTGCTACAACTGTGGATTTACCATTACCAGATGCACCTACTATCGCGATAGTTTTTCCAGCAGGTACATTCAAATTGAAATTCTTCAGAACAATCTGAAAATAAATTAAATGCAGTCACATATTTAAGCAAACAAGAGATCTAGTACTTGCTGTTTCCTAGTGGGGTAAGCAAATGTAACATTCTTGAATTGAATTTCTCCCTTCAGTAAATCTTCAGATAGAATTTTTCCTCCTCTTAAGGACATAGTCGGATTCATATTGATGTACTAAAATAATTTGTATTCAGAACAGAACGTAGAAGCCGAAATCCTTTCAATTTACCTCAAATACTCTCGATCCAGCAGCTACCCCCCTCACTACAGAACCAAAAAGGAGGGAAATTTGGGCCAAGGATCTTTGTATCGTTTGGGAAGACATAAGATAAGCCATAACTTCTCCCGCAGATAGCCTATTTGTTGTTAACAAATATCCTCCCATGTACAAAGTCGATAATACCATACTAAAATATTGAAATGTCATTATAACTCACAGCCTGCCCTGGAAAATATTTGCCTGTCCTAGAATAATCGGTAGATGCGATAAAAATCGAACAAAGTGGCAACACTGACACTGCAGGATAATGACGCATACTCGGACGAATAGGTAACGTGAACGTGGAGGTTGGTGCGGTGATTATATTATATTATTCTTCACTCTTTAATATTACTAGTCACCAGGGTTGCCATCTTAGCGCTTTTGTAGGTAAATCTAGATTGTTTAGGGTAGGTGATCAAAAACTTCGCTAAATCACAAAAAAAAAGTCGCTGAAATGTGGTTACGTTTAAAATTGGTTTGGTCATTGAGACAATTCACATTTGGGTGTTCAAGATACATTTTTGAATTTCTAAAATTCCTAGGAGGTTCAGTCTTGGACCTTCATCGCAAACATCAGAATATATTTCTGATATTTGTTGACCAAAGAATTATTTTTGAGCTGGGTAAAATTTTAGCCTGCCCAAAATTTTGTTTGCTTACCCTAAATATTCACTCTGGCTACGACCCTGCCTATTGCTAGGCCACAATGCTTTTCTATATTATTCACCCAATTTTATTTCCTGCACTATAATATAGGTCTTTTTATATTATGTACAAATATATACAGTCTAATGAGTGCCTTACATGTTTGTATACATAGGAAGACTTGAATTTTCTATCAAAAATCAATTGAAGCATCTCGCAACCCGCCGCCTCGGCGGGTTCGAAGTTCCTTTTGAAGTGGGTGCACGTGCGGCTCGAGACGCTTCAATTGACTTTGGGTAAACTTAAACCTACATACATTGCAATTATTGGTGCGCATATTAGATGATGAAATTCTATCAATTTCAACTCACCTGTTTATGAAAATATTTGTTCCAGCTTGAAACATGCCGATTCCAAAACCTAACTGTTTATTCAAAGATAAAGCAAGGTCTGCTTCACTATTGAACAAAATCTGTTCTTGGTCTTCCATAGCAAAGGCTCTGACGGTTCTTATATTACCTACAGCTTCATCTGCCACGGCAGTTGTTTTCTCTAACTGAAAAAGGTAATTTTGACCAGAAAACATTACTACTAGGTTCAATTGCTTCAATTTTTTTCCAAATCAACAGAAAACTTCATTTATAAACCATATTCTATTATGCTCTCAGCACTGTGCTATCAGGATGAAAATATAGAAATTTATTCAGATGTTACATTTTTGATGGAAAATGTTCGGAATGATTTTTTTCTCAGAAACACCGGGTTCAGATAGGTGTAACGAAATATCCTAGGGAAATATCTGAACCTGAGGTTGATGATATGTCTTGCTCTTTTCATCTAAACAGTTTCAATGGGTCAAAGTGTATAACCAAATGATGATGAAGTGAACTGAATTTATTGGTTTCCGTCAGTGGTAACAACCCCTTCATTTGCTTCATTTTTCAAATTGAAATAAATCATTTAATGGGGCTGTACACACTAGTCGAATTTACGCCATATATCTATTTCAGAGAAATTTGGGTTTTTTACGCATGCTAGTAGAAAAAAGAGTACCTAACATGTGCGTGAAGCGCATGCAGATGGTGGAATGACGCGTCAGCAATCGCGTGCGGAAAAGTATCGTTTTCCACACTTGTCAGGTAAAATACTATTCTCTACTAGCATGCGGAAAAGTCCACTTTTGCGCACTTATTTTAGTATTGAAAGAGTAATTTTTCCCCACTATTGCGGAAAAATCTTTCAACACTGAAATGTATGCGGAAAAGGGGAATTTGGGTTCTTCTCGAATGCTAATTAAATAAATAGTGTACCTAACACGTGTGGAAAAGTATCACTTCACGCAATTGTTAGATAAAATACTATTTTCTACTAGCATGTGGGAAGGTATACTTTTCTGCACTCATTTTATTGTTGAAAGAAACACTTTTCGCATTAATGCGGAAGAAATAAATCCGCATTCAGTGCGGGAAAGTAAATTTGTTAATTTTTTGGGGAGTATACTGACATTTGAATATTTAATAATAATAAATGTTTCTTTGTGTTAACTTCTGGTATTTTCGGCATGCTAGTAGAAGTATTAGTGTACTTAATACGTGCGTAAAGTGAGTTTTCCGCACGCGATTGCAGATGGCCAAACGACACAGCAGAAATCGCCGAAATCGGCCAGCAAGCGTCACTTTCCGCACTTGTTGAACTACTATTTCAAAATATAATTACTTGAACTGAAAACAAATAAATAATCAATTCCCACAATAATAAGAATCAAATTGAAATAAAGAAAAAGAGTTGATAAAAAAAATCATAGACTTTTTTGCATTTCCTCTATGCCAATTTCTTTTTTGAAAGTTGATATTTAGACATCTTAATCTTGATGGTATTTCATTATAAATTTTAGATCCAATAAATAGAATGTTTTTCTAAAATTTTAAGCTTATGTTTTTCAAGTCATACATTGTTGATTTTGTTTCTGGTATCATAACTATGATTGATTTCATTTGTTATTGCCGGATTCAATTTGATGAAGATTACTGACGCCTATAGGATAATTGCCTGACATTCAATACATCATTTTCATAGATAATCAAATGATTTAGGGAATTTTATTTTCAAAATATATTTTTGAATACATAACAAAGGTTATTTGGAAATTGTACAGGACTCTGAGGATAAAACGGTTTGTGACAGTGGAGAAGTTTGTGTTAGTATTTCAAAATAATGAGATGAAATGTTTCACTGAAACAGGGCCATTCATGGCCCCAGCAGATATTTCAATGGAATTTTCAATAGGCATAATTTTTTTGTACTCCACAACCAAAATGTTGAAATGGTAATATTTTATCATATACCCTGTCAATACCCCTTAAAACTATTGTACCCATATTCTTAACCAAATGTGTTGTAAATCACAAATATTAGTCCCCAAAAAATATTAGTATTTCAATTAGATTCTTTGTATTACCAACCTGTGCCTGTGCTTTTCTTGAGGTGGATCTCAGCAGAGACCCAAATAATGTTCCTACTACCACAACAGTTGGGATGCACAAAAGTGTGATGAATGTCATTTCAGGAGATATCACAAATAGAGAAATGGAACAACCAATAATTTGTGTTGCAGCTCTCAAACCACCAGACACAGTTTGCTTAAAACTGCTCTTAAAATCTTGTATGTCTGTTGTCAATCTAGGATATGAAATAAACAAAAAATAATATGTAGTAATGCAAGGTGTTATCAAACATACTGGATTTTTCATTGATTTTGTAATAAACAGATATCAAAACTGGACACATATCATGTGTGGGAAGGAGAGTCCAATGGTGTCTTAATTATTGAATAAATGAAATGCCTTTTCCCACAGAATATTTACCTATTTATAATTTCCCCAGTTCTCTGCTGATCGAAGAAGGCAATATCTTGACACATTATTGAGGAAAATAAATCTGTTCTCATCTTATTTGCAATTGTTTCTCCCAAATTTGACAGCATAACAATGTAAAAGAAGGTACAAGCACTCTGAAAGATTGTATTACATATAATATTCACCTAATGTATTGTATGTTTCTGATAATGTTTCACTGGACAAAAAAATAAGTATGTATTAGGAATGAATTTAAGATTATTCAAGCTTCCTTCCAACTATGAAAATATACCTCATCCAACTGGTTTTGTGATAACTTTCAAGACTGAATCCTGAAATCAATGGATTCAATGTATTTTTTTTTTATATTGATGCATGGATATTGAATATAAAGCAGGGAATATAGTTTACTTCATCTATGTTTGAAGTGAATGTTTTGTATTTTAGGTACTATAGGTAACTAATAAGTAACTACAGAGGTACCTGCTCGGGTACCTGAGTATAATTCATTAGAATATGAATAACTGTTTACTTGATAATGATATATACTCACTTACTTAATAATGAAAAAGGTTACAGGCTCACTTTCAGGTCAATCTTACACAAGATGTGAAGCTAGATATGAACTACTAAAGAATCTCTTTTTCTTTAGCCTAATAAGTATAAGATTATAGAGTGATATTAACCATGTTTAAATATTCTCATCCTCTATGGTTCATTAATTCTAATTCAAATTATTCTTCCAATGTTTCAACAAGAGAAAACTCACCTGAGCCACATACATTGATACCAACTTGATAACAGGTGTTTTCATTTCTGAAAGAAATAGTCCACTATCTTTATTCTCATTAAATTTTGCCAATACATTGATGACACCAGCCATAATTTGGGGAATCTGAATGTTCAATATAGCTACAGCCAAAGCTCCCTAGAAATTGAAAAAATTGTTGTAAGGTGGTACCACTGGTACTTACATTAGGTACTCTCATAATTAATCAAATAATTGATTGAAGATATTGTTATGAATATCTGCATACTGAATTTTCCATGTTTTCCATAGAGTTTTAGAACAAAAGATGCCCCAAATTTGCTGAATATCTTTGATGGAATAATATTATGTAAGGACTCATAATTGAGAGTGCACATCACATCAATCAAAGTTGAAATATTGTTGCCTCTTACCATAATGGCTGCTAGAAAATATAAAATGTTAGGTCTAAGGTATGCCCATAGTAGATTCCAGTCAAATTTGGAATGTTTGCCAGAATATTGTTCATAGCCTGCCAGTCTAGTCTTATTGGAATCACAAAGGGTTTCCTGGTTCTTGTGAGTAACTTGAATGAGCACTCCACTTGCTAGAGATATTCCAATTGTCATAATTCTTGGGAAAGTTAGAACTTTGCCATGAAGATTTGCTACTTTTGAAGAATTGTGACATGTTTTTTTCACCACAAGCAGTCTTGAACTATATGAGAATGGTTTTTGAATCAAAGAATATCTGAAATGATAATAAAATATAAAATAGTAGGGATATGAACTGAAACACCAAAAAAGAAATCAAATCATAATATTTCTCTCCAGTATTTAATAAACTTTGTACAAGTCTAGCTCCTGCTACTTTTGTCTTGCTTTGTCATTTCCAAATATTTTTTATTTGAAATATTTCATTCTTTCAGTTTACCTTGGTAGTAATTTGAGTGACTGTTGCATTATTTTCCACATGCTGCCAATTATTGTCAAAAAATACTTGTTGATGAATAATCATAAATATCACATAAATAATAAATATGAATAATTTTGTATTTTGTAAACTTATTTGTAAACATCTATACCATACATTTTGAAACTCGAGTGTCATGTGTCATTGTCAACCAGTCAAGTGTCTATTTGCACCATATATCTTCTACTCATATATATGAAACAGCTCTCTGATGCCGACGTAGGAAAAAAATAATACGAAACTCGTTTTTATTTTCAATTGAATTTCCTCGTTGGACCCAGCACTGGATCCAACGCCCCATAAGTCGAAACTTGTGCGGGGTTAGGAAAGCATACATTTACAAACATCACAAACATCCATGGCCTAACTGGGATTCGAACCCATGCCTCGGCCTCGGTGGGAGTCCCCATACGAACTCAGCGCCGCCGGTGTCAAACCAATATGGCTGTTTCCATCCTTCACTTTCCGTCCTTATAGATTCGAAATGTACCTCTCATTTTGGTCCCGTTTCTGTTGAGATATCGTATAGGCGATGCGATATATATATATAGAAATAGTGATTAAGGCGTCAGGAATGTTTTTCCTTCCTCTCGAGACACCGAGTCTCGGTGATAATTCGAAGTTTTTCTACGAGCCAATGCACATGACTAGGGTGCCTAGATGCAAACAATGATGGAATGCAAACAATTTCCATCAAGGGACCCTAACTGTGACTAGAGTTCCTAAATGTACTTACTTGGCACAGCAGTGTCAAGAGCATTTAGGAACTCTAACTGTGACCAATGTTTGCGAATGGTTCGAAAACTTTAGGCTCTAAGGCATAGATGTCACATGTCACTGATGTCAGCTGCATTCGTTATTTCCTGTCATTAAACTTTTCTTCAGCTGGTTTTTGATTTTTGAATCCTCTGCTGATTCCTGAAATGAGAAATGAGTTCTAAACTCATTACTGTTGATTTTGAAGTGTTTGGAAGAGTGCAAGGTTTGTTCATTTAATTTCTTTATTCAATAAAATTACTAATCAACAGTTGTGACTATTTTCCAGGTGTATTTTTCAGAAAGGTAACATCTCTTACCAATTCATAAGCAGTATAATAATATGCTGGTACTTTCTTTCAGTATACTCAACAAGAAGCAAGTCGCCTTGGACTTAAAGGATGGTGTATGAATACTCACATTGATACTGTGAAAGGAGTCTTAGAAGGAAATCCTATGAAGGTGGATCAAATGTAAGTATGGAATATAATTATATGGCCTTAGAAATTCTAAAGTTTATAGCCATTCAGCTACTTCATAGTTTGAAACTATAACTATATTTTTTCATCAGTCTGACATCTCAAATCTGACTATGCTGATCAAAAATTGAGTGCTTTCAGTTTATGTTTCTAGAGATTGAATTTCATATGATATGCAATTATAATAGGTGTTAACCTCTGTTAGTATCTGCCTAGCGAAAATTGAATGCTTTAAGGATATGATTCTAAAGATTTAATTTCATATGATACACAATTATTATAATAGGTGTAAGTAACCTGTATGTTGAGTTGAAATCACATTGAGATATCTGCAAATTATTTTTAGGAAGAGTTGGCTTCAAAATACTGGAAGTCCAGCCTCTAAGATTGAAAAGGTCATTTTTACAAATGAAAATGAGATTGAGAGACACACATACAAAGATTTCAAAGTCAAAAGATGAGAATATTGATGGCTGTACAGAACTCCTGCCTAATAAATTATCAGTAAAATGTGAAATTATTACAATGATCAATTGTCAGATTAATCAATATACCTAGTTAAAATTCATACCAAGTTCCATTCAATTTCAATAGGTGATTGCCATTCCAAAAACTTGAACACATGGGAATGTATATTATGTGTGCTTATAACAAAATGCAGTAAATACCATCAACACCTATCACACTAATTTGAGCTGACTAATAGTTGTATAAATTATAATCCAAATCACAAACACAATAACAGTTCCTATGAAAAAGTATGATTTCTTCTGATTCCAAGGACTATCATGTGCCAAGTCAGGGGCCTGGTATCTTTGTCTAGCACTCCTGCAGACTTCAGGAGTACAAGTTGTAGCTTGGCTGCTCTCAGTGTTGTTCACACCATTCACTGTGATTTTTGTTAATTCTGTTCCTTTTTCAGAGGTCTTGGTTAATGTCTTGTTGGCCATCTGAAAATAGGAAAAAAAAATTTAATCAATTATTAAAACTTGAATAAAAAGCAAAATACCTGGGGGATATTCTGTTCAAATCAATATCTTATCAATTACTAGCATTGGATTGTTATATTGACCATCAGGTGTTGGTACATACATAATGATTTATATTTAAAATCATCACATGTTGCATACAATTTTAACCTTAATGTAGATGTCATAAATTGATATTCAAATCATTCAAACTGACATTTTACCTAAAATAGTCCAAGAGCTGGTTGCAAATTTTCACCGTCATCTGATAACAAAATGATATAATGTCCCAAAGGCATGTAAATCCATTGTAGACTATTGTAGAAAAACACTTTCCTGTGCGGAAATTCGCTCTTGATTTCGCGATTTCATAAGGAGGTAAGAATTATGCAATCTGATACCAATTGAATGGTAGATTCCAAAAACCTACCTATGGCTAGGGTCCCTTGATGGAAATTGACGTTAAAGTCATCTTAACAGGGTACGGACAGATCCTCGTCTCCTCTCACTCTAAAACGTTTGTGAAACAGTTATATAGTTCCATCCTTATTCAATTCTGGGGATAAACACTAGATTTTTGACATTCGTTGTTTTTTAGGTTATATTGAGGTCACTGGCGTATCATACGTAATGTCCATATGGAATTCCTGATTCAACTATACCAAGATATAGATGAACAATCCTCTAGTTTTAGAGTTTACTACTCCAGCATAATCTCTGCGAGGAATGGGAACATATAAATTGTACTGAAAGCTTATAATGTATTTCACCAAAAGAGACTGTTCTTAGACTGTATACCAGGGTTGACTGAATTGACTATGAATTCTGATTTCAAGCTGAGCAGTAGTTTTTCTATGAGCTGAATGAGCAGAGCCTTATGATTGAGAAATGGTGGAAACCTCGATGTAGAAATCTAAACTACTGCAGGTAAACTCATGTCATATTTTCGGAAATCCAACTCGGAGAAGAATTTATGGAGTTACTAATATCACACTATGTACAAAACTTCGTCTAGGACGAAAAGTAGGCTGATTAAAATAAATACGTAAAATATGTAGTAAAATAAAGAAAAGAATATACTTTACTTCATTTTTTCGTCTCCCTTGAATAAAAAGTCATTTTCGAATAATTTATTGATGAAAGTAACAAAGAAGTAGGTATGCGCAGTATAACTTATAGGCACGCTATTTTCACTCCTGCATCCTACATATTTTCTATTTGTGGTAGAGTAATAATTATATAAACTAATGTCTTTTGCCATATTGGATCCGTCATCTTGAATTTCCCAATTTTTACGATACAATCATTATCTCCTACCCCGAATACCCCCAGACACCAGTTTTAAATAGAATCGGATCTTCATTACAAAACAATCCACCATATTGGATCCGCCATCTTCAATATCCCAATTCTGACGAAATAATTATGATATCCGACCCCGGAAATCCCCAGATTTTTATTGAATCCGCTATCTTGAATTTCCCAATCTTGACTAATCATAAAGTTCGACCCCGAAAACCCTCAGATATTAATCTTAAATAGAATCAGATGATAATTAGAAATTTCTTTCGCTATATATTGGATCCGTCATCTTGAATTTTCCAAGTTTGAGGAAACAATCATTATCTCCAACCCCGAAAAAACCCAGATATCTTCCAATTTTGAATAGATTCGGATCATAATTACAAAACTCGTTTGCAATAATATGATCTTCCTCAACAAGTGGATACCCTGTACATACCTATTATTAAAATTTAGAATGATTTTCTGTAGCGCCCATGGATGTGAGGTGACAGCAGTGTCAGGGATGCCAGTAGACAAAACTGAAGTCTCTAGATCATTAAAAAAGAATGCAGCTATGATCTTTCCGTAACCTGTTAGATGACTTTAACGTCAATTTCCATCAAGGGACCCTACCTATGGCTATCAGCCAAATCTACGGCACAGCGATTTATTTGCTGCTATTATTCCGGACATACTTCCGTTATGTGATAACGAGTTCAAACAAGAAGCAAATGAGAGGGGATGATGTCGCCTTCAAACTGATTTAAGTTAGTCGCAGAGCGTCAAAACTTCCGAGAATATTTTGCCCTCTGAAGATAATATCCGATGGACCAGTGTAAAACTCAACATGTGGATTAGAACATTTGTAGTGTGAGCACACCACATTTGTTTCACACTGGTCCATCGGATATTAACTTTCGAGGAGGACGAAATATTAGGAACGTCTCGTTTGACCCAATTTTCGATTCATCCAATTTTCGATTAACCCACCGTCTCCGAACATACCCGAAAGATGCGTTGTTTTCAAATAATGCATTTCCGAAATATTCACAGAAATATTGACGCTCTACCACTAACTTAGATCAGTTTGAGTCGCGGCATATTTTCCCTTTCATTTGCTTTTTCTTTCAACTCGTCATCACATGACGGAAGTGTGTCCCGAATAATAGGAGCAAATAAATTGTTGTGTCATGGATTTGGCTCAGACTGAGGGGTGACACAGTTAGGTTTTTGAGATCTACCATTCAATTGATATCGGATGGCATAATTCTCATCTCGTTATCAAATAGCGAAATCAAGTGCAAATTTCCGCACAGGAAAGTGCATTTTTTTATCATAGTGATTGGCACAGGTGCCGTTCGATGAACTACAATGTTTTTACTTTCCTTTGGGACATGCAGCCGCGGCTCTCCTACTAAAATTTGTAAAGTATATCTGTTGATGAAGTGATTAATCAAGTCAATGAAATCAAATATTCCTTAATGTACTTGACACTGATGTTTGGACGTTTTTAAATACACAAAAACGTCAAAACAGCAGTGTCAAGAACATTAAGAAACTCTAGTTAATTCTACACGGTATCTCTTTCATACAAGGTGTTTACTGATATCTCCTGAATAAGTTCAACATTTTCAAGCATTTTTAGGATATTTCATTTTCTTTCCAATAAAGCTCAGTAAAACGGTAACGATTAGGACCCAATCCGGGAAAAATTCAAGTAGTCGGTTTTTCTGTGGTTCTATATGTTATTGGAGGTGCTGAATTCGAATCTGAATTTTGCAAACAAAATTTCCTGGAGCGTTCCGAAATATTAGCAAAAAAACAGCGAAATTTTTGCACTTTTTTCGATTTCATGCCCGTAACTCGGAAATTATTCATTATATCGAAAATACTGCCCTTTAAAAAGTTGAAGTAGATAAAATGCATTATTATAATTGTTATTGCTCATGGATGTAGGACTAACGAGTGCGGAGATAGAGCCAGTTGAAAACTGACCAAATTTTCGTCCTTATCAAAAGATAGCGTTTCTCGTCGGTTTTCGCAGATAATTCCAAATCTACGCTTTCCTCGAAAAAACGAACTATACTGTCTGATGTGGAAGAGTCCTAGCCATGTGAATGCTCGCATTTATATTATTCCAAAGAAGTATATTCAATGATAAATGAAAATTTAATGATACAAAATAGTCAGAAGAACCTTTGCCAACCTGAAGTTAGTTTTTTTTAGAAGATTATTATTCCAAGGATAATTCAAGCTCAACTGAAATTTGAAATATTCTGATTTTATTGATTCCCCAATAATTGTGAATGAATCACTAATATTATTCACTGCCATTCTTGAATTCCAGTCGTACGCCGTTGGAGAGTTATCTAATGATGGTTATTTCCAACAATATATACTATCAAACAGTCACAAAAGCTTCCCCTTGTGAGTTATTTCCAAAAATAGATGGCCATGAGTATTTTTAAATTTTATGCATCAATAAAAGAGCATTCTGATATATACTAAATGATTCAGTTAATTCCAAAAAGATAAGTCTATATCTTCAAAAAATATCAAGATCATATGTACTTGGAGCGATGTTTATATCAACTATCTTTTTTTTCACTGGAAATTGAAGCTATCAGTAGATACATGAAATATATGGGAATAAAGTTCTATAAATGGATTTGTCATAATATATCTGAGTAGGTATATTCCTTTTCAAAACCTTCTAAGAGTGGGAGAGTATCTCATATACTCTGACTTTCTGAAAATTTTGAATATTCTGCGGAACGAATTGATGAAGGTAAATTGAATAAAAAATCGCATGCATTGTATAATTTCAAAAATCTACCCTTATTCCCTTTAAAGCTGTCGAAACGACCGGTTATGAAATTAATCTGATGTGGACAAGGTTACTTGTTCAGTTTTGTGTTATGAGCTGATGACTTGCCAATCCTAGCATTATGAGAAAAGTATATCAAATATATACAGCGTGTCTCATTTCAAACGGCCTCCCCTCTATATCTCAGCTATCAGTCGTGCGATCTTTACCAAATTTGTATCGGTATGGATAATCATCAATTTAACCAGTTCTTCGAAGACAAACATCATTTTAGACAGTGCCGTGCGTATTTATTGAAATGAAAAGGGGTCAGTTTTTTATCAAATCATATTAGGCATTTTTTCACGGGAAAACTGACCTCATAATATTGTTCTTCATGGTT